AGCTGTTCCAGCCCTGCCTGGACAAGGTCCTGTGCAGCCTGCTCTGGGTGACTCTGCTTCGGCAGGGGGTTGGGCTGGGTGACCCACAGAGGTGCCTTCCAACCCCAACCATTCTGTGAAACCCAAGGCAAGCACTGTCCCCAGAGAACGCCGCCAGCAGGCAGGTCTCTCCAGAGCAAAGTCTGCAGCCCGAGAGCGCGCCAGTTTGTAACCAGCACTTTCCTTTCCAAGGCTCGCCTTTGATTTTCCCTCCTAAAATAACAGCCTGTGTCCTCGCATGCCTCTGTTCCAGCCTGCTCGAGAAGCTCAGCCACCCATCCGACCATCCCCACACAGCCACTGGGTGTCTTGAACAGCCGGAGAAGTCACGCCTGCTCCCCTCCACAGCACCCTGGCAGTCCCGGTGAGCTCTGGCCGTGCTGCGCTGGCTGCGAGCGGCAGATCTCCAGCGGAGCAGCGTTACACGCCACGCTGCCGTTCCACTCCTTGGTAAAAGCAGGAAGGGCAAGGGGGAAGGCAGAGCTCACATTAGGTGCCAAAACCAAACGCACACACAGACACACAATTAATCAGGTCTCAGATGTCTCCAGGTGAGACGTGAGGGCCCCTTCCAGTCACCTGCTGGATACTCTGACCGGACAGGCTCTCGGTACAGGCGTGGGACCTGCCTCAGGACGTTCAGTTCTCTGCTTGATGTTCTGTGTGACCGCCACAAGTCCCCCTTCCCTCCTGGGCTCAGTTTCTCCACGCGTGAGCAGGAGACCGGGACGCTGGACATCTCCAAGAGCAGCAGCACCAGGCCTGCCCACCGGCACGGTTGCTGCCACCCAGACTGCGAACAGGAGGACGCGGCCCGTGTGCCTGCACCAATGCCACCGAGTGACCGCTCCAGACCCAGCAGCCGCTGCTCGCAGGGGAAGGGCGAGTTACTCAGGACCCCCAGAGCCTTGGGGCAGGGCATGGCATTTTTTTACTTAACGCAAAAAAACCCAAACACGTTGCAATCTCCAGCGAGGAGGCGCAATCGGAATAAAGAACTACCAAGAAACCCGCTCGAAACGCATCATCCGCCACAAGACCGGGTGTTCAACGCCTGGGCGAGCGCCACGCGTTAGCTGCGCTGGCATCAGCCTTCCCATCGGTCCCATCTCTAGGAAAACCCACCTGGTGCACTCCCGTGGTTTGTTTGCCCCGGAGCGACTCGCCCACGGAGGGGCTACAGGCTGC